CGGACCATACCCCTCCCATGAACAGCAGTGGAAATGTTAGCAACACAAGTTTGAGCATTTATTAACTAGTTTATCTTTAATAATTTATCAAAGCATCACTTCATCCTTTGTACTGTGGCAAAGGGGCTACAGAGTCCTATAAATGGTTCAGCAACTACCTAAAATTCCTATAGAACAAGCAACCTACATTTGGCTTGTATTTGTACATCACAATCCCCCGTGGGCAGCGATGGTTTGGTCAGTTTCAAAGGAGTTAATAAATGTTATGCATCAGGCAGTGATGTGGTGGAGGCAGACTCCATACACAGTTCCAAATGTAGATTTGATAGAGCCCAATTGGCTCAGGAAACTGTACACCAGTTGATTGACAGTTGAGAGGCGGGACCAAAGAGCCAGAGCTCAACCCCCGCAAGCACAACTAAGTACAGTGCTAATGTTTAAACATTTACTTAATATTCAAAATAAACCACTGATTAACCAACAGCATACTGATTGAGAAACCATGAACAAATATTATATTGCACGAACGGCATGTGAACAGGGTTTTAGTCCTGGCCCTCTGTTGTCGATTACGTAAACGTCATCCTGTCTTGCGACACCAGAAGTCAGTCTCTCTCTCTCTCTCTCTTTACAGTATTCAGACTTCCACTTTCGTAACATTGCAGCTTTCCAGACAGTCCTCTTTACTTAATTTGTTGTTAGTTTTTATTCATGAAGCGAGAAGAATGCCCGACACGATTATTTATTTGAAACACGTCATTCAGTATTTTCTTTAATTTTTGTGTCAAAAACAATAACATATATTACAAATAAAAATTTGACAGCTAGATGTCATTTGTGAATTCTGGACAAAGCCTTTTAACTAGACTGGTGACCACGATACAAACAGTGTTACGAAATCAAGCTCAATCCCGCATTTGATCTGACTCATGGCCACGCAACTTGCAGGATAACTGTTACTTGTCTGCGTTTTCAAGTTTTCCTGCAAATTCTATATGCGTACCACTGGAGTACTATAAAATGGTCTATAAAAATCTATATTCCTCCTGTCCGTGCCATAGACTAAAATCAGCGGCGTAAGACACTTCAGTAGGAAAAGTGAACTAGTATACATAAATATAATAAAAGATTAAGGTACGACCATGTCATTTTCTATTAACAAAATATATAGGGTAAAGTTAGTATAGATACGTATCTTACTATTGATGTTGCTCTACCAAACAGACAGGATGTTCATAAAGTTACCTGCTACTCAATATGAACTTTAAATTTTCCCTGGGGCATAATAAAAAAAAAATTATGAATGACGATAATTGATACCATTAAAATATGGATTAAGAATACTATATAGGCTACATATTTATAAATTATAAAAAATACTCTATTAGCGTGTATTCTGTGTTTTGCGGAATTAAGCACGAATACATATTGCAGTTTTATTATAATACTAACCCATTTTCGTTAGCTTCGTATTAGTCCACAAAGTCCAGACATGAAACCATAGAGCAGCTATTTATCTATGGAAACAAAGTGATTAACAACCGGGGATCACGGGTTAATAAGCTACCGTAGTGGGCTTATAACAACCCTGCAGATTCACAGACCAACGCCTAACACCAAATCAACCAAGGTTATGGTGATTACATATATTTTTACTAATTAATCTTTTGTAAACATGAATCGGTTACAAATTTTATTGACGATTTCTTTTCGACTGAAGGCGATGCCATAATGCTCTAAAGTTTACACAAGCTTCCTATTTTCTACAACTATAAACAGATGTAAATATATCCAACGATGACGGGCATTTCTGATAACATACTACTTGTGAGGGAGGAAATGTATATTTTTTACCTCTCAGAATGTTTGGTAATGTGTTTATTTGTGATGTGTGTCTATGTATATATTAACACGTTGTACTGAATGGGGTGAGAATAGCTTGAGCTACCTCATCACTTTGTGTGTATTTTACCTCAATAAACTTATTTCAATTTCAATTTCAATGACGGGCATGTTATACCAATGGTGTACGTCCTAGGCTCACATTCGAGGGCCCCAGGTTCAATCTCCGGGCAGGAGGGTATATTTCCTTTCACGCCATAAAAACATAAGAATGAAGGCAACTACAGAAGGCCTATTGGTCCATATGACGCAGCTATTTATATCCACACAATCTCTTTCATATATACATGTTTAACCCATGCTTGAAACCATCAAGGGATCCTACTTCTATTATGTTACGCGGTAATTGGTTCCACAGATCAACAATCCTGTTACCGCAGCAGTACTAACCAGGTATCATATCTCTATTCACCTAGCCCTATATAATATCCCTGGATTTAGACGACTGTCGAGGGTTGCATTCTGGCCCTATACACGTGTAGTGACCAAGGCCACCCGGCCCTATTTACGTGTGGTGATCACTAACACCAAGGCAACATTGATTTTTGACGCTGGGATATTGAGAACAGTATCCACGGTGCTCCCTCATGAGATGACACCTTAACCTGCTTTTAAAACTGCTGGCTCACAGGTTGTGAATTCTGTCTTCTCAGCAGTGACAACATAAAACCTTTCGTCACAAATATGAAGAAACATGCAATAGACATGATTTTAACATGTTTGAGGTAGGCATATATCGTAAATATTCCTCGATAATGCACATCATAATGGAGACAGTCCATAGTAATATTTTTATTAAAAACACATATTTACGAAGCCCCTCCTAGAGAGGTATTTAATACCAGGGTATCTGTATTAAAAGGCTGCGCGTGCAGCCGCGCATCCTGTTGCACGCGCGCGCCTAACCGCTAATTTCAAACAGTGCAGAAGCAGCCCAGATATTGTTAGCACCATACTGGCGAGAAGTAGGTGCGGTGCTCCTGCCACACACGCCTCAAGAGTATATACCTCTCACCACCACCACCACCTGCCGTAATGAGGAGGCTGAGTGGCCGCAAGTGTGGCTGGCAGCCTGCACTCCTCCCCGCGGTCATCAGCTGATCACCGTCAATGGACCACCATACAAGCATCCACCAGTCTTCTTGGTGATATAACCAGCTTTAAACACCTGCAAATACTGACTGAGAGATGTGTACTTACATAACTACTCTTGATAAAAGTGACGAGATCATTTGTAGACGTTGGTAATTCCTAGGTTGTCTACAAGAATACAATATGTGTGGGAGGCGGTCATCGGCGCTCCTCACTCACTCTCACCATTTTGAACTGTGACGTTGTGTTGTGTCACGTGACTACACTCATGGCTGCCAACCCTCCCGCTCCCACTTCTTACCCATTCGCCTCTCACACATTTATTTCTCCATTTACTTGTAATCTTCATTCAAATGTACACTTGGAATATTATAAATTCGCCATCCATCGTTAAAATTATGTACCAGAAAAAGCGCAATTATTCCGTTGAGTAAATACGATGGTCAGCCCTGTCGTCGCAGGTTGTTCAATATCTTGCCGTCATGAAAGACCTCAAGTTGCAAAATTGCAATGAACGTCACTTTGAAGATAAAGTATTATAAATGTTCTTTAGTTTCAATCTCAAATTATATCTGATCATTTGAAATAATGTGATATACTGCTATGATTGTGTTGTGATAATTAAATACAAACTATTTTGTTATTATTTAATTAGTTTTGACAGCTTATTAAACAGGACTTTATATTACATAGTAATATTTGTAATTACAAAGAGGAAAGGAACTATCAGGAGAAAGCACCAAACCGTTACGACTATGTAGCACTTGGAAGGAATCAGTATAAGGACTTCAGATCTAGAAAGTACCAGTATAAAAAACTGATTTGTTCAGATCCCAAACTTATGTTTAAGGGCAGCACAAAACGTCCACCAGACTGTGCGACACAGTGGTTGCCAGGATCAGGTTGGGTTACCGCTACCTGTGCCAGGTGGCTACAGGTGACAGATCTCCCAATCCTGAGCACTCCAGGTGCAAACTCTGTGAGCAGGAACTGCAGCATGATCTCAAACACTACATCACCGAATGTCCAGTTATTAGACCATTCAGACCTGTTGGCTTGAAGTACCTGGAGCTTTGCAATCACTTTATTAACTAGTGTTCTTGAGGATATCCTTATAATGTACCCAAAGTTTGCCAATGTAGACTAATGAACGTGTATGACTAACCATCCTTTGTGATGGGGAACAATTATCATCACGTAGCTAGTTCTTGATACACACTGTATTACCTTTCATATATTCTAGGATAGTTGCACAAATGCAATGTACCCAAATGTGTTAATAAAAAAATCCAGACGGTATCACAATATCCCCAACCCATTTTTGTTCAAGAGTCATACGTACTGTAAATCTATGTATGATGTCTTTCATACTTCTAATTTTATTCCACTTCTTCACTACCTTTACATCGCAGCCATTTTGTCTAATATTCCTTTGGTTCATTTGGTAATTTAATTTCATCTGTCCTCTCTTATGTCAGACTGCCTTTTCAGTTCTAAAGTATCTTATATATTATGCTCATGTCTCCTTCAATGTAGTTCAGTTCTGGTGATAAACTTTAAACTTTCCTTTTTTTTTTGTGTGCGCGCGCGCGCGCGAGAGAGAGAGAGGGGTGGGCGTGTTGTTTACATAGAGCAGGTCTTGCTACTGTATTAGGCCCTGCTTCCAAGCTATTTGTATTCTGGTGCAACTACTACTGCTTTTATGCTATGGTTCACCTTATAGTTTCCTATTCAGGGGACAAAGTCTGTTAGGCTTGTCGAGGTATTATCTCCACAAGAGATAATATTCTAGGATGGTCTCACACAGACTATATCTAGTGTTCTGAATGAGTCCTTACTGAGGTTTATGAAATACCACTCATATGTTTGCTAAGTTTAATGACAGTGTGAATGTGACAAAAATTATTTGCTAAAAGGAAGGCATTGTGGTGTTTTATTTGCACAACTGCTAGCAAATTAAATATACTTAAATGATTTTAGTAACAAAGGTTTGCTGAAAAGCAATAATAAAGCACAGCCTTTATTGTTTATCACATCAAACAATATGTACAACAATGTGATCTCAAACAAGCCAATAATGAAATCTAAAACGTTAAAATGAGGTGATGCTTTCAACAGCATTAACCATCACAAATTATCACATGGTTACAAATGGGAGATTGTAGTGACAGTATTGACAAATTTTAATGCAGTTTAATGTTAATTCTTATGTACACATACAGTCCTCAAAATTAATTTACATATAACAATGCTTACATTGCAAGCATAACAGGATGAACACAATATGTCAATTCTTGCCCTATTAATTTAATTAAAAGGAGTTATTTTTAGTGGGGAAATCCCAAACACACACAACCTGTTTTCCAAAAATTATAGTACAGTACCTACAGTGACTGAATAATTTTATAGACTGTAGCACCCAAAAAATCAACAGTTTGTAGTAATGTATAAATTTTGTAGAGGGCCAGAGAAACAAGCAACAAGCAAACTTAACATTTACTAGCATAATAACATGCATAAATGCAATCTTTGTTGTCTTATAGTACTCTATACCAGTACCCAAGTACACAACATGGATTTGTTTTGGGTGCAATAGTCCATATTTTATACATTCTGTTTATCAGTGTTATTTATACAAATTTTGTTTAGAGAATTAGTAAAATATACTACATTAAAGCCTTAATAAAATTATGTGGGGTAACAATGAGTAATATAATTAGCCACCATTTAACCATCACAGAATATAATGGAAAGAGGCCTAGAGACCTAATGTATAATCATACAAATCAAAGAGCTAACATTTTTATATTAAAAAGGTAGCATGAAAGGTAATTATGCCAAATACAAACAATTAAGCATAAAGTCTATTTCAATCAATATAACAGCTATGAAAAGTATGTCATTTTATACAACCTTAATATTTAAAGGAAGCCTGTAAAACAGATAATATATATTGAAGTGATTATATAATTAGTTTTCTCTGACATAAATAAACAGGTCAGAACAAAAGCAAAAAAAAAAAAGAGCCAAATTATGTTAACAATAGAGCTGGAGTTAAATAAAAAATGAGTGAGTGATAAAGATGAGAAAAGATAGGGCAAGAAAGCTATCAATGGGATACATGCAGGAGTCTGCTGGGACAGTATAGACTTAATGCACGTCAGAGGAGAGTTATAAAAGAAAACATGCTAAAGTAACATGAAATTAGATATGCACTGCAGTAGATGAGGCAATACATTATTTAAGCAAAGGAATGTTGCAGATGCATTTAGAAGCCCGATTCTGGATAATTTATAGAAGAAAAATGTTGTGAACGAGGATGTGAAAATAAATGGGTTTATTTGTTGCACTGTGGAGCAATCTATTCATTTCAACTCGCCGAATATAAGTTAGTCATCTTCATCCAACTTATTTCATACGTGAAATAAATCATATTAGCTTTGTTTAACAGACAAATCAGCTTACAACAAAGTGGACTGAATGGCAAACATGATCTTATGAAATAATGCACTTGAAGGTTGAAAAAAGGTAGCATTTGAAAATGATAACCAGCAAATACTGGCAAGTGATGCATGTTAGGCAATATCTGACAAATATATTCACTAGAGTTAACAATTAGATTATAACCCTATTCTTAACAATAGGGTATCACCTTATGGATGTGTAAGTGGAAAAGAATGGCTCATGAATGGATTCCAAGTACTGTATACAGTGTTACTGAATACAATAAAATAATATTTCATTGTTACTGTATTTGGCAAAGCTCATTCCAAGGAAATTACTATGGATATGCATTATGTAAGCATCTGATTTTAATTATAATATATCTATGTATGTCATACCCCAATTTTTCTACAGTGTCTAACAGAATTTTCTCTTATTCAGATTATGGACAATGTTAAAATACCTGACAGAATGTGATCTAGGAAAACCATGGCACTGAATAACCTAACTGGTTGCAATACCTGGCCTAAGGCCTAGATCAACATACTTAAGACAATGCTAAATAATCAAATTTTTATCTTACTCTTATACTCTATCAATTCCTTTCCCACATATCCTATCAGCAACATCCTCAAGTATCTGCAATATCTCTACACCTTTACTATAAGCCACTGTTCTACATCATATTTCCCCATCATTCACTTTTCATGTTTAACAATCCACTCGCGCTATTTCACTAAAAATTTTATACAGTACTGTAAATATTATGTCATACTAATGTTTCAATACTATATATTAAAGTGTGTTAAATAATACTTTACAATATTTCCACCTGTCAAATCACATACCAGTATTATTTCTCGATCTTCCTGAGTACCAAAAACCTATTTACCTTTCAGTAATTTGAAATATTTAAGCACTCATTCCCTTATTTTCACTAAACCCTATACATACCATCTCTTAATATTATTTTCAATAATTTTATTACTCCTTCCAATAAAAACTATCCTCACATATATTTATATCTATATTTTGACAATCTTACAACTCTAGTTAAAATAAAAAAAGGAAAGTACTTTTGCCATACCTCATCCATCATAATTTAATCTAAATTAAATCACAATTTAATCTAAAACTATTTTCTACAATTTTTTAGGTGCTGACAGTTCTCCCACATCTGATTTACTACTCTAAAACACAATACAAAACTGCATACATGCACTGAGATTCATTTACCTAATTATTTGATTACATTATTGTTCCTGCAAAATCCATTAGCAATCTATTAGCAATCTTTGGGTAGACCTTAAATCTCTCCCCAGATCCTCTTAACATTCTAATGAGCACCATCTATTCTTCTTTGTACTTATACCCATATTATACAACAAAATAGAGCACCATGGCTACCATCAGCACATTATTGCATGATTTTGTACTTAGAAATTAAATAATTAGTTTGGCAAACCACAAAGAAACAATTGCACAAAAATATTGTAGAGGAAGTAATTATCAAAAGAAGGCACCAAGCCGTTGAGACCATGCAGCACCATCACGGTAACAGGATATTCAAGAGGCGCTAAATATCACCAAGGAGGTAAATACGAGAAGGAAAGCATATAAGGTGAGGGTTATTGAAGGTATTAGATTCACTAAGGATTTTATAGAAGGACAAATGACCACAAGGAACATTTGGGAAGACACACAAACATCCTGAAAATCGGAATATTCTACAAGGAGGTGCACGACTGTAAGAAGGATAAGGCAATTCGGACAATTAGGATCAGAGCAACATTCTATTAACACTTCCGCTCGGTGACGATGCAGTACGGCGTCAAAAATTTATTAGACGAATGTGCAAGAATGACGCAGTATGGCGTCAAAAATGTAAAAATTTGGCCTGCTTTAGGCTTGGCTGTGGGTGGGGCACGCTACAATTTTGGACATTATATACATATACTCGTGTAGGGGATTTTTATTGCGAACAAATTGATACCAAAATGAAAGACCTAGGACGAGAATTGAGGTGACCAAAGAGGAAAAAGAGTATACACATTACTGTATATTGCTTTTGCGCGCTCACGGGTAATATCGTGCGGCCAATTTCTTGGTTTGGTATGAGTGGTACGCCGGGCTTTGGGACTTTATATGCAAATACTCCTGTAGGGAATTCTATTGCGAACACATTGATACCAAAATGAAAAATCATAGGACAAGAATTGAGGTGACAAAATTGAAAAAAAAAGAGTATACACTTTTCAGTACTACCGCGCACTCATGTGGAATGCCCGGCCCTAGGACAAGAATTGAGGTGACAAAATTGAAAAAAAAAGAGTATACACTTTTCAGTATTACCGCACACTCACATGGAATGCCCGGCCCCACCTTGGGGTGGTCTGGTGCTCGCTCGCCCAAAGCGCGAAAGTGTTAATTAAGTGTCTAAGTTCAGCGCATATGGCCAATAAGTAACCTTGCCAGAACTGTTTCCCCACTGCCAATTAATGTGGTAGGAGGAAGGCCAAGAGAACAGGCTATCCTTAAGAGCATGCAGTTTGTTACCTATAACATCAGACCAATGACCTTGTCAACATTCTCAGATCGATGAATAAATGACTGGGTAGAAATCTGAATTAAGAATGCTTTTTTAGGAAACAGGTCAAGTGCTGACAGCTTCCTTAGCAGCAGCATTTGCATGCTTATTTATGCTAATACTGTACCAATATTGCTGGGAACCCAGCAAAACTCAACTATCTTAATCCTGCTAGAGATAAGAAACAACCAATATTGGATTTCGTCTACCACAGGATGCATAGGGTTAAATGATTCCAGAACCATGAGAGCACTGCCAGAGTCAACCACAATTACAAAAGAGTGTTGACATCGGAAAAGGAATTGACAAAGAGCATGCAAAATTACAGTTCAGTTGTGAAGATGCATGACTCCATGGGGTAGGTGGCACAAATAGGTTTAGTCCAGAAAGACCATAGAGTAGCCAATACTGTTGGCAAACGTAGATCCGTATGTGAATAGGGCAACAGAATGTGAGCGTGAAGAATATATTCAAGGAAAAGGCATTTCACAACAATAGGAGGGAAGTGTAAGTCTTGATCATGTGGGTCAAAGTCTTGCAGAACATTACAAGTGGGACCCCACCATGGGGGCAAGGAAGGAATCACACGAGGAGAGACATAGCAAACACAAACTGAAAGAGAGGCCTGTAAGTGAGACATCAAAATAGTAAAAGGAAGGTGTTGAAAAAAAGACGATCGACCAGAGGGGTAAAAGCCAAAGCTTGCAAAAGTGAGAATAAGGATGTTACAGTCACCATGCAAGGTAGTGAAGGCAGTAACAATTCTGACGATCCTATAGCGACAAGATGACGATTTCAACATAAAAGCTCTGGGTAGGGAACAAACAAATAGCACCAGAACTGAGATGCAACCCAGCATGGTGAAAAGCATCAAGATAATGAAGGGTCAAAGGAAGGCAATGGAGTAGGCAGGGCAGCCATAATACAGTTTACCTATCAGAACAGTATACATGGGTCACCACTGCAGGGCCGAATGGCATCCCAGAGACCAATAGGGGTGCTTGACTTGATGTCTAACTAGGCGAAGCTAACCAGGCAAGCCGATTGATTCAGATGGACCACATTGAACCTCCTGTTTTATCCCCGTCCCCTCACCAAAGAAGCATGTTACCCCCCCTCTCCCCCCCTCATCCCACTACTGCTGGACAGGTTCAACTCCCAGATGAAGAAACAGAAGGGCATGTATAGGTCTTCATACATGCCTAACATATGGAAATAGACCTTGCTTGAGCAATGCCACAGCATGCAGAAGAGGAGAGCAGGAGCTACCCCTCCTACACGCAGGCAGTGCACTAGAGCCCCCCCCGCACTGCGTCAAGGCACTGTCCACTGAGAGTGATTCTAGAGGGAACAAATGAATTGATGAAAACCAAGATGTTCTCCTCATAAAGAAATTCTTCAAAGTGAACATTTGCCACCTTCAAAAATCTGGTTTATGTACCTATTAAATGATAATGAAGAATTTAAGTAAACCCCTAGATCCCTAATTAAATTGACAGGCTACAAAGCAACAATACTAAAGTGAAAGTACATACCAACATTTGCAAATCTGCAACCCTCTAAGATTACCATTAAGATTCAACAAATGTCTTATCCTCATTCAAATTAAATTTTGCAACACTCATGCAAGCGCAAACATCAAGCAGAGGAGAACTCATGCTCAGCTTTGAAATATGCACATTGTGAATTCAAATATAGCTTTAGAGATTGTTATCATGATCAAAAGCATCTAGCAACAAGGCCAAACCATCGATGTAAACAATAACTAATAGCGGACTGTACTGTACAATTATAACAAATTATTATTAATAAGGATTTCAGTATGCAATCATTGTTAACAGTAAGTGTTTGCATACTTCTGGCACTTGTAAAGACATTATTGAAAATATATCAAAGTACTGTACAAATATTTGGCAGTGCCTTACAAATACACAAAACATTCCAACCTTCACTTAGCCAGGATTCATTTCCACAGCCTTGCTGCATCATATATGTTATATGACATAAATCTACACACCATTCTTAACTGTATATATATTGAAGGTCCAATGTTAAAAGTATTTTATCAAAGTACTGTAATTAATTCAACAATAGACACTAAGCACATTACTTGATAAATATTTCAAGTGTAGAAGATGTAAAGGTCTGACGATCTCAAACATTAGTCAAAACATGAATTTTATAGTTTATGTGGTTCAATCACTCAGAGAAAGGTTTATTGAAATAATAAAAACTTGACTTTGACAGAAACTTCAGCAAGCTAAAATAATATGACTCATTAAATATAATTAGATCTACTTCAATTATGTAATATTTAAAGTACATCAATGCCAACATTAATCCTATTTGATTAACAATTACACAAATTAAACTGATAATTCACCTTTGCTAAACATTATGCACAATGTTTAATAATTATAACAAAATTTATCAAACCAACAAAGTTTGAAAGCAAACTCATTATTTTGGTTTGATTGCTTATTCTAATAAATATTTGTAAAGTTTTAAACTATTGACAATTTCACTGTGAATGAAGAAACTTCATAAAAAATGGTTGAGCGATTATTTCAGAGATAGTGTGAGATGAAACATGAGAAACAGTAGGGAACAAAGTTAATTGGAAGCAGTTTCTTAGAGGCAGAGACTATTTGTCTTGTTTTGAAGTGACAAATCCCAAATGACCATTCTGCATCTAGTCTCATTAAGTAGTGTAATGCTACTTTATATGATTTGCTCGAGTGTATAGTTGCCCATTCTCTTTAGTGTGGAGGACGGTGAATAGATGGATGTCATACTGTACATAATTTTAAAATTTTCCTACACTACTCGCCTAACTTTTCTAGTTAATGTCTCCCTGCCCAATGAAAAAGAAAAATTGGGAATTAGTGGTGGTGATGATATCAACGCATGGAGAAATAGACAAATGTTTTGCAATAAAATTTATGACTAATAAGAATAAAAAAATCTACCAAGAAGGTACCCAGCTTTATTAAAATTTAGGGCATGGTCAATATACTGTATTATTATAAGGATATTTAGAAGGTGGAATCTCTTTGGGGTAGAATACTTGGCACATTCTACCTTGATGTAAATGAATGTCATTTAGTCACATTAATTTAACACTTTCGTGCAGGGACGACACAGTATGGCGTCAAAAATATATTAGATGAATGTGTGGGAATGACGCATCAATGCGTAAAAAATTGGCCTGCTTTCGGCTTGGCTGAGGGTGGGGCGCACCGCGGTTTTGGACATTATATGCATATAATCCTGTAGGGAATTCTACTGCAAACACATTGATACCAAATTGAAAAACTAGGACGAGAATTAAGGTGACAAAATTGAAAAGAGCATACACGTTTCAGTATTACCGCGTGCTCACGTGGAATGCCCGGCTCATCTTAGGGTGGTCTGGCACTCGCTCGCCCAATGCGTGGAAGTGTTAAGCACCATTAGGTTTGGCCAGAATCTGGATAGGTGACCATGTGAAAAGCATTACTTTTGGCTAGGGGGACCTTGATTAGCTCAACAAATATTTAGTCACAACAGGTGATATACAGGGGTACTATGCTTTCTGGAGGGGGTTCACCCTGGTTTTGGGTTTTTCTCTGATTCAATAAGAAATGGATGGTTTTCAGAGGCTAGATGTAAGGGTCCTAAGGCTCAGTTAACCAGTATTTAAGCTGGGAGAACTAGTGAGGGGGGGCCTTCCCAGTAAATATACGAAATGTAAGGAAAAACACAAGATAACATGCAGAACGACGATTCAGGCACTGAGGCAAAAGGGTGGACGGCCACCTGTTCCTGACCATGTCAAGGAAGGCCAAATTGTGAAAGAATGCCTGAAAGATTATTAACACCAGCAAATCAAAATCACGATTCATTACTGAGATTATTACAACCTCAAACTGATAGCTATTCTCTGCAAATTAAGACAACAATTATCTAAAAGGTTTCAAATAAATTTGTGCAACACAAAGTTAATAAAATGCATCCATAAAAATCCTCATATCAAATTACCGAAACAATCCATATTAAACATAATTTATCTATCATATACTGTAATCGTGAATACATCATTAGGTTCATCTTTAGAATAAGATATACAACTACAAGAGTAAATTTTCCCTAAGGATTAGGAAAGACCTAACTCCTATATGAAGTTCAAGAATGCTCTCTTTATATAAAATACACTGGCAAGAAACACACAACGTGATTGGAAGACCATTAAGGAATCAAGGTATCAGATACTAGTTCACCATAAACCAGTAATTGAAGATATAATAGTTGCAGATCGGAATCAGCAATTACAAAGAAATTACATCTTTGTCTTTCACAGGTTCACATTTATTACAAATATATATAAAAACTTTCAAAATAAAAATAGGTTTGAAAATATATGAAAGTTAACAAAGCAAAAATCTTTCAAACAATAACTTTAATTCACTTATAGTCTGAATCTATTTCTAAACATAGAATGAGCTCTTCTTTTGGCATGAACATATCTAAGCATTACAATAATGACCAATGCTATACTGGCTATCACAAAGTAGAATGGACCCATAGACACATGAGAAGCCATTCCAGATGTTGTGGATGATAAATATTGAGCTAATGGAACAGTCTGTTCAGGAAGGAAGAATGTATCGGAGTGCCCAGCCACACCAGGTTTATTAGACTGTAGGGGCACAGCTCCCTGTGTTATGGAAACTTTCTTCTTTATACTTGACTTCATTTCTTCTAGATGTTTCAAGACAATATCTGCCTTATCTTCTAGTGATTTGTCTTGTTCAGCTACCCTAAAAGGCCATATCTTAATTCAATAATAATACAATAATATAAAATCAGCGTTGAATATAATGAAACGCCATTTTCCGGGTGAGCCCCAGAGGCTCCCTGGAGTTATCGGGCTAATATGTGATACATTAGACAGGGGCATTAGTCTATGTTGTTCAGCCTACCGGGGACCACGAGCCAGAACCTAGCCCCCCCAGAGAGGTGCAGGAAGCAATGGCCTTTGAAACCCCCCTTCTCTCTGTGGTCAGGGGTTTTCCTTATCTTCCATCAACCAGGGTTAGGCACCAGAAAGGTAGGCATAACAAAACAAACCCCACATGGTAAGAAAATTACAAGTAAAAACTGAAAAGAGAGGCAGCCCTCCCTCCAATCCCAAAGAAACGAGCAAACAAGCAAACGTCAGACTCCACTGCCGCGTCGCTCATCCGCACAGCCCTCCCTCCAAACGCCGGGTACCTAGCACTCCAGTTTGGCAGCTAAGCATCAAACAATGTGAAAAACCACCGACCAGAGGGAGAGAGGGTTGCCAGGGAGTCTCTGGGGCTCACCTAGAAAATGGCACTTCATTACATTCAACACTGGTTTTCTGTGGGGGGAACCCACTACAGCTTCCTGGAGGTACATAACCAAAGATAAGGAAAAGAGGGACTTATCCGGGAAACGGCCGCCACACACGTCTTAACGCAAAGTCGAGACAACTGGCTGCAACCTGCGACCCAAAGCAACATAGGAATGCCCAGGATCAGGATCGTTAACCAGATAATGGGTGGACAGGCCTCTGGTCGACCTCCAAAATCCTCGAGCCCGAATATCAGCCCAAGACATGTTCCAAACACAGCAGCCAACGCAGCAAACTTCCTAACATCATTGGGCACGAGGATAGACCACAGGCTGGCTAGACTTAATAACCCTACGGACGACCTAGGAGACCCAAGCCCTCAAACAGGGATCGAAGGAAACCGAATCAACCCAAAGTGCATCTCCAGCCCCCAAAGCCAAAGCGTGCAGATAACAGTGAAGAGCCGCAACCGAACACACCACATGATGCACCCCTGGCCTGACCCCTCCGGAAAGCAGCCGTCTCTTTTTTGCCAGAAAAGAGGAAGGCTGCAACTGAACAAACTGACCACCAGGACCAAAAGAGCAGAAACCCTTGCACTGGAGGAGAGCATGAAGTTCTCTGACCCAATCACCAGAGGCCGATGCCAACGGAAACAGAGCCTTGGAAAAACAATCTTGAACCGAAGGGGTCACCACAAACCGAGGACAGGAAAGATAAAAGCGCACCCGGTCCAAGGACCAGGATGGCTCAGGCAGTGCATGAGCTGGCCAGAGATAAAACAAAGCACGAGAAAGCGTACGGAACGGGGCTGAGGTGACATACACCCCTGAACGCAAGCTGGAACCGCCCCGCCAGTGCTGCATCAAATGATTGTCCTGAAAAAGCCAAGACCAAAAGGACAAGACAACCCGATCAGAAATAGAAGACAACTTACGAAGAGAGAATGCCAGGAAATTTTATACTGTACTGACATCGAGATGAAGCTCTCAGGTGGGACACCATCAACAAAGCCACCTGATCACCATACAAATGGCGATAAACCCACATCAAAAAGACCAGACATGAAGAGCAGAGGAGAAGACTGAACCAGCTGTGTACCATACCGGTCCGATCTGCTGGAAGAGGCGGAACGGTGGAAAATGCCCCGGGTTCGCACATCAAGCAAGCAGCACCTGGAACCAAAGCTGGACCGGCCACCAAGGGGCCACAAGGACTACTCTCCCTTGGTAGGACTCCAACCGAGTTAGAACCCGAAGTAACAGCTGAACCGGGGGGGAAAAAGGTACTGTACAGGTAACCCCACCTTGACTAGTCCCACTGAAAGGTGTCCACCGCAATGGCCTCGCAGTCTAGGAAGAGAGCCTCATAGACTGGGAGATGCCGAGACCATGCCGACATGAAGAGGTCCACGTCTGGGAGTCCGTATGCCAACATAGCCAACAGAAGGAGTCGGCGTCGACTGTTCATTCTGTAGACAGGGGGAATGAACCAAGACAGGTCGTCCACTAGGACGTTGGACACCCCCCGGATATGAACCGCACGAAGAGCCAAACCCTGAGAAGCCAGCAGACGAGCCACTCAAAGCGATCAGCCCCAAAGAGGCAAGGACCGAAAGGAACCCCCGCAGTTCAGGCAATGAACCACCGGAGAACAGTCTGATTGGAGCCGGATGGTCAAACCCTGAGCAACCCGAACCCTGCGAAGTGACAGCCAAACTGCTGCAAACTCCTATAGCGTGCTGTGAGCCCGATGGAAGGACGGACCCCATCGTCAATGGCAGGCTTGGTGAGCACTGGTCAAAAAGCCCCAGCCGAGAGACAACGCATCCGTGAACACATCAAGCAAGGGCTCAGGTAGGCGTCAAAGAAATGAACTCCCAAAAGCCCAAAGAGGAAGCTGGCGATGCAGCAACCGATGCAAGGCCCCCAAGAGTATGAACCCAGTGATCGCGAGAGAAGCGGAAGGGGCATTCCAGAAGGAACCAGAACAGACACTGAAGCCAAACTCGACCCAGTGGATAGACCAGCACGGTGAAGTTCAAACTCCTGCACAACTGCTCGAGCAACCGCTGAGTGATCCGGGATCACTCGGTACGATCCAGCATGCAGCATGACTGAGGTGAAGTGTAAGTGAATTAGAAGTAAGATGACTGAAGATTGATCCCTCCCTGGATGAGCCAAAGGTAGGACCACAACCTCAGCAATGCCTCCGGAGGGAGTGAAATGGCAGTGGTCCAAGAGTCCCAAACATGACCCAGCCAGGTCCAAACCTGGGATGGAACCAGATGGGACTTCCTCCAGTTCACCAGGAACCCGAACCTGGCGAGCTGGGAAAGAACCATGCCCCTGGTGAGCAGACAGGCGAACCAACTTACAGCCCATACCAGCCAGTCATCAAGGTAGGCCAGGATCCAAACCCCTAGCAGACGCAGACGGGTCACCATGATACTGGTAAGATGCGTGAATATGCAAGGTGCCAGAGTCAAGCGAAAAGGAAGGCAATGAAAGCAGTAAGCCTGATGCCCCACCATGAAACCTAAGCAGTCCCTGAACCCCGGATGAATAGGAATGTGCCAATATGCAGCTTTGAGGTACAGGGACACCATCCAGGCACCTGGTTCTGAGACAAGAGTGGCCATCCGAAAGGAATCCAGGGGTTCAGATGGGACAAGTCCAGAATGAACTTTAGATCCCTCCCCAACCATGCCATGCCCCCAACGAAAAGAATGGGCAGTCTACCAGCCAGGAAGACTCCGGAACCTCCTAACACACCCTATACAGGGAAGAAGAACTGAACTCAAATAAGGGCGGATCCATCACGGAGGCGGGATCCGGATCTCACAGGAAGCATGTGTGACGATAATCTCTTTCAAGAGAGATTTGGCCTGCTCTTTCCTACATCATGTTACTTCAGTACGTCTATAACATCAAAATACTACATTCAAGAGTAGTACATATATAGAAGAATACGTTTCTACAGGGGGTATACGTACCCTACACTTGCTCTCCAAACCCCCTCGCTGTCGGCGCACCACCCTCGTCGATCACCAAACTACCACTTCCAGCCAGCACGCTTCCCATTGGTGAATCAGCGACTCCACTCGACTTCAGCGCCATCTGCATAGCCTATGACTAAGCGTGCACGAGCAGTTGGCTTTAGAATATTCTGTGCTCTCAAGGTTGATGTTTCTATCTAGCATATGCTCTGTGTATTAGTGGAGGTTTTCAGCCAGCCAATATTCTCAGCACCTTTAACTCATTTTTTGTCTTGTTCATTGCAGAGTAACGTAACCAGTATTTTATTTTATATTGTTTTTTGTTTTTGTATTTATGTTTAATTCGCACTGTACATAGCCAAGGGATTATCTTTGTTTATATTTGTTTAAAGTCAATTAAAGTTTCATTGTTTATACGATTTGTTTTGCGTGTTTTTCCCTTTTACTTGACCACAGAAGGCAACAGCCAAGCAGTCAACTTTTTTTCTCTTTTTTTTTTTTACTAATGTGATTGGCATTTACACCAGCCATTGGGAGGACTGCCTTACACCTACATTTTCCCATCACACATGCAACAAGAGCCTCTCAAACCTCTTTATGGAAGATACGAGAGGCAGAAAACCTCCAGAAGGACAGGGCCAAGGAGCTCAAGGAAGCTCGGAACCAAACCCAAATCATACTCATACAGGGAATTGGGTAAGAAAATCCCTTCCCCCTGCAACAAGCCCGCAAAGAGGGCACCAACACCCAAGTAAGGTCAAAGGGAGCCCAAGGCCCCCAGGTCGACTCTTCCCCAGCCCCGGGATCCCCCAAGTCGGGACCCGGGGAAGAGCAGTCCTCCATACCCTCTACCCCCTGAAGAAAAGGCAGAGTCCAGGAAAAAGGTTGAAAAGACAGGGGCCTGCAGGTGGGACCCAGAAGCCTCGGTAGGAGGAACCAGCCCGAATACCTCCCCAATACGTCCCCAACGTCCCTAACCCGAATGGGGCAGCCCCGCTGCCCCATTCAGGTTGTCTGAACCCGAACCCAGGTGAAGCTGCCCGAGTCTCAGTACAAACTAAACCCTGCCCCGACTCCAAAACTCTCAGACGTTTGGGAGCCAGAAGCAGGGGGTTAGGGGAGCAGGGTGAACAACAGGGAAAGGATCAGGGAATGCGGACTGAAAGAAAGTCAAAGTGATTAATGCCCCCAGGTTCGGGTCCCTATAACCAAAGTGGAGCAACCACGGGGCACCTGGGTGGGAAACCAACCTTGCGCGTTGCAGCAACCTGAATCCAGTATGCAATGAGGATGCTACCTGTACCCTAACAGCAATGTCATCAGAATATTACTGGTGCACAAGCAGAAAACACGACTTGCAAGACTCCGGATCGAAAGTATCATCGACCCAACAGGCAGCATAACTGAGGCAAAAGAGGTGACTGTCACCTTGAGACAAGGACACA